CACATTCCTTTGAGATGGAAAGTTACCAGGCACTTTTTACTATCGATGGATTCAGGCAAGTTAACGCAATGCGATGAAGCAGGCTGATATCGTGAGAAAGGTCTGTTTTCTCATTGAAAGTCAACCCTTGGAGTGAAATTCACAATTTGATCTAAAAAAAAAGTTAAATCTTTTTCTACATTCCTATTTGGAAGCGGCTTCACTGAGAGTCAGCAAGCTAAACACTTTAGAACATGTATTCAATCATTATATTAGATTTTTCCACTGTCAGGATTAGAAGATAACCATATCTTATTAGCTGTTAATTTCTGCTGTTTCTTTGTAGGGGTATTCTTATCAGTTCTTTTTGCCGGCTGTGTGTGTAGGTAACTTTTTAACTCAGCATGTTCTTTTAATATATTGTGCAGTACGCTGCTAATATAATAATTGAATACAGGTTCTTAAGTGTTGCTTGCTGACTTTCAGTGAAGCCGCATCCAAATAGGAATGCAGAAATATATTTAACTATGTCCCACTTTTTTATATATAAAATTGTGAATCTCACTCCAAGGGTTGACTTTCAATGCTAAAACAGAACTTTCTCACGCTTTAACATTTGCCTGCTTCTTCCCATGCGTTAACTTGCCTGAAGACCTTGATTGAAGATCTTAAAAAGCGCATTCTTCATGGCTCAACGCATCATTTTAGCATGTTTTTAGGGGATTCGAAGTGGATTTCTACCAAAAATGGCTTTGATTTTTTTTTTTTTTTAGATATTAGACAGGAAGAGCGATATATCTCGTTTTAATGTTCAATTTTAAAAATTTAATTTGCTCCTATGACAGAGGAAACAAACAAAAAAAAACTGAAAATTAGGATTAAATATTTACAGATTTACATTTATCTAACTACAGAGAGACGAAAAGTTATATAAACAAAGTGGCTGATGTAAGAGAGAAAAATAATTTATATCTGAGAACAATCGATGCCTCACTTCTGCAAAGTTCGGACAGTCAAATATTATGCAAGTAGAGAGTTCTGGAATTGATCTTGAAATTACACATGGCATAATTTTTACCTACACACGACAAATGTGATATGTGTACAAATTCAAGGCCTGTAATTGCTATTTTTACCAATATTCACAATTTATTGTCTACGAATGGGGCATGACATACATTACATTGGGTACTTACAGCAATGATTCGTTGCGCCTCGAGCATGTGGTAAGATTTAAAGATAGAAAATCCTGGTTCCCTTCACGAGCATTATTCAACTCAAAAAAAATCACGGGACAGAGTCTCACGTTGATTTTAGCACTTGAAGACGTTACTGTACCAAAACGAGATAAAATTTCTCTTGGGCTTCTCGTAAACACAAGCCCTCGCGGAGTTGGCATTCTGGACACCGTTTCCCAGTGACATTTAGGTAGGTTTTTGCTATCATAAGCACCGATTTGATGCGCCCCAGAATAATTGGCCCATTTTACCTCTCTGATGAATTCCTTTCCATTAATGAACGAACTGTGGTTCATGCTACAACAGATACTACAGAAGAAGATAGTTTATAGAATATGATTCGTATATAGAAATCGTGATTCTAATACGCTGGTAATTTTGACGAAAGAATGTTCTATAATTCCAGATTAAAGAGCTGTTGAAATTTTCTCAATGAGAGTGTTCTAAATCGTCAGCCTGATTATCATAATCATTAGCGGACACAATACTTTCTCAAATCTCTTATGAGGTGAAGGATAAATTTTTTTTCTTATCATTGCGGTTGCATCGTTCGTGGACTAGTGGCATAAAATGTCGAATTTAGATACCCATGACACGGGATCGAATCCCGCATTGGAAACATTTTTTTCCTGAAAAAAAAAAAAAAGCAATTGGTTCGATGACCCTCGATTCTTTCAGAGCTCAAACCTTACTAGTAAGTGCGAGTAAAAAAACGGGGCTCTGTCATACCCCTAAGTGAAAATTATGAGGGCTCTAAAAATAATTTTGATTATATCTATTTTAAAAGAAAAATAAAAACGTTAAAATTATGAATATATATAAAATCGAACTACTTTCTAACTTTCTGTGGACATGTGGTACACTTCTCCTTTATTATATTACTAGTCGAATGACCCGGGCAACGCCCGTGTTTTACCCGATTGTGTGTGAATGTTTTGATTCAAATACTATTTGTTATAATTCTAAATTGGCGCCTTAATTAATTGCATATGTTAGTTAATAACTATAGCCTACCGCCCGACATGCGCGCGCACAGGGAAGTCACGTGCTCGCCGGCAGCCAACGGGCGCGCGCCGCCGGCAGGTAGGGGGGGCAAAGGTGGCGTGACCGTAGCCAACCAATAAAAGCAAACGGTGACAGAGAGAGAGAGATGACTGATTAGGAGATGAGGAAAGACGCTCGTAACTGTATATAGTATTTTTATACTCTTCTAGCTCTTTTATTTCTTCAAACAGGAGTATCCAGGATATCAAAATGGATCTTGATTATTCTTGACTCGGATATCGAGAGCATCAAAACATTATATTGGTTTGTTTATAGCTATAGAAAAGCGCGTGTATTTCTTCCCACCCTTCCCTGAATGTGGCCAAAGCTCCAATTGAAGGGATGAGATATGGTATTGCGACTCCAGATACTGGTCATGTAATGGTTGTAGTCGCAACAAGAATCACATTATCTATTGAACTGTTGCTTGATATAATTTTCTTTCAACAATCGCCGCGTTTTGTATTATATTTAAAATATTAAAATTCATATTTCTTATTCATACCTTCTTTTTTTTACGTTTAGTGTTTAGTGCTTATTTTCTTCAAAATTAGTGGAATTTTTTTATTTTTAATATCAACACCTGACCTTTTTTTTCTGTTGTTTTTTCGTGTGTTAAGCGTATTTACGCAAGTTTGGCCTTAAATATCCATTTCTTGTTTTTTCAGGAAGCCACTGGGACCAAAAATATTTTTGGTCGCAGTGGTACAGCCTACTCCACACTGACGAGCGCCAACAGCGCGAAACGCGTTCGTGGATGGCTTTTCTTGATTTATAAAGAAATTGGGTTGGTCAAATATCAGGGAACAGATTAAATCAATGAATAGTTGATTTCTGTTCCACCAGGTGGCGCTCTGCCTTTTAAAAGCACATGTGCTCCTGGTCAGGATATGCCTTTTTTATTTTTTTATCAGTTGAATTATTTAGTAAACCATCGCTATTGTGAAAGTTCAGTACCATTAGGGTTCGCTATAGCGAGTTTTTAACTGTATAATTTAATCAGGAGATTCTTCTTCTTAATTTTATCTCTTGATCCCACAAATTTCTTCTTTTGTAATATTTTTTACTAGCGAATGACCCGGGCAACGCCCGGGTTTTTCCCGATTAAATGTTTTTATTCAAATAATATTCGTTACAATTATAAATTGGCACCGGGGATGTCACTTTTGTGAAACGTCCCGCTCCAAACTTTGTGTCTGAGAAGCGATATTTTTATCTGGCTTTTGTTTTCTGCTCGAATGAATGTTTTTCTGTTAGAATTTTATTCCTGCGTACAAAATAATGAACTGGTTTCACCCGTGGTCTCTGCTTTTTGGAATTTTTCCCGATATAACTATGTATCTAATAATCAAACATGATACAGCAATATCGTCATCATCATTTTCTGACTAAAAATATATAGTTTTAATAATTGATTTATATATTTTTAAAAATAGCCTATCGTGTTCCCCGTATTTTTTACCTATGTATGGAAATTTTGGTTTGAATTAGTGAACTACTGCGAATTTGTATACCGGACATACAGACAGACAGAAATACAAACATTCATTTATATATATATAGAGATATCACTTGACCTCAAATACCCATTCCATGAATACTTCCAGAATACCTTGATAAAGGTTGGCGTTCAGCCAACTGAAATATTGGTAAAATAAATGATATTTTGATCAAATATAGGCCTTTTTAATTGAATCCTGAATTTCAATTGAATATATCAATAATTATATATTTTATATGATTTTATTTACTATTTGAAATAACAATCAATAATGTTATATTTTATATCAATAGAAAAAACCCTGTTATATTCATAAATAAGTTAAAACAAAGCATCTAGGGCTGCGTATCTTTTATTTGATCAATTTTGCTGAATATGGATTCTTGACTGGATCATAAAAGATACGCAGCCCTAGATGCTTTGTTTTAACTTATTTATCTTTTATATTATTATTTACTATTGGAAATATCAATCAATAATGTTATCTTTTATATGATTATTTTTCTAAAAGATAAATTAATAATGTTATATAGGATATGTATGTCCAGACAGACAGGCTATCACCAGGTGTCTATAGGTCGACAAAGCCCCAATACCCACATCATCGATGTCTATCAATCATTGTTTGCCAAACGATCACCAATCTTTCTCTACCTAAGCCAACCTCCAAGTTAGGCCTAGCCTAATTACTAGAGACCTCTGACGTTATTTTTTATATAAAAATAAAGCTTCTCAAGTTAAATATATTCTTTATAGATAAAATAACTGCGCCATCTATCGGAATAAATATAAACTATTCCTTGGTTTTTTCAATCATTCCAAAATAATTCCAAAAACTTTCAGTTGCACGATAAGGAGATGCCTTTTTTAAATTTATACACCTTATGAAATATCATTGTATAATATTTTTCCATATAAATAAATTATAGTATTGATAAAGAAGGTGATTAATAAAAAATGGTCGGAATAATTCGAAGAGAGAAATGTATGCACAGATATATATTTAACAGAGAAGCATGCTTACTCTGTGTGGCTCTTAATATACAATACTAATACATTTAAAATACAATATAACGCGGCTGATGATTGTAAAACGAAAATTGAAATTATACCGCGAATGTTTCTTTTAAACAAAAATCGAAATCTATTTTAAAGATAAATAACGATTATTTCTAACTCTAAGGATGAAGTATGATAGGATGAATTGTGAAGAGTAATGACAAACGGAAAAATAAAAGTGTCGAGGGGCGGGAATCGAACCCACAACCTTCTGCTTACCGGGCAGGGGCCATGTCCACTAGGCTACCCTGGACGTATTTTTCCGTTCGTAAATAATATTTAAAGTAACTTATAATACATTTAAAATACAATATAACGCGGCTGATGATTGTAAAACGAAAATTGCAATTATACCGCGAATGTTTCTTTTAAAACAAAAATCGAAATCTATTTTAAAGAGAAATAACGATTATTTCTAACTTTAAGGATGAAGTATGATAGGATGAAGTGTGAAGAGTAATGACAAACGGAAAAAATAAAAGTGTCCAGGGGCGGGAATCGAACCCACAACTTAGAAAAGTGATAAATAATCGTTATTTCTCTTTAAAATAGATTTCGATTTTTGTTTAAAAGAAACATTCGCGGTATAATTGCAATTTTCGTTTTATACAATACTAATATATACTAAAAACAAAATTGGCATTTCCTGACCGCTAAAATGAGCATATTTAGATGGCAGAGCGCCATCTAGTGGAACAAAAATCAACTAAACGTTGATTTAGCTTTTTCCAAAGATTATTTTTTTATATTATTTTTTTCACACATATATATTACCTTCAACTATACTTACAAATTAAAACCATATAGCCCACGCACTATACATATATTTATATATTAATTGAATAGCATATTTTGGATCAAAAATAAAATAAACATTTTATTTAATATAAATGCCGATATTTCAATAGGCTATACGCCTAACTTCGTCAGGGCTTTTCTTGTTTTTGAACTGCTTTGGTTCATCACGTGATGCCTTCACGCAACGATATATAAATATTTGCAACTCTGTGGGGATAAAATTTAAAATATATACACACAAAAAATATTAATAAGAATAGACTATATATGTACATTTATAAAAATTAAAAAATAATATATGATTCCTAATAAGTATAATAAAATAATTTTAAATCGATTTGAACTGTAGATATAACGGAGATATGTCAATTTTTCTATTAATACTGTTGGTATCTTTCATTGAGGACCAACTTTCTAAAAAGATTATTTAACATATATATTTAACAGATTACTGATTTTCAATTCTTATATTTTAAATGTATATATTTATTTTTCTTTATATATTAATATTATATATTTTATTTGATCTTATATTATTATTTATTATATTTATAAACATGAATATTGTAGGTTTTAGATATTTTAAATTTTATAGCAGTTGTACATTTTCGTGAATTGATACGCACTTATCTTAAAACAATCTTGTTCCCCGAAGAAGTTTGGCGAGTTGCCTCACGAAATATTGGAAAATTAAACTTTATGATCTAAAATAAGCATTTTTAAATAATATATACCTATATACAATGTAGATATACCATTCAAGAGGTACGTACGCGTTTGTTACTTAAAAAAAAAAATATATATATATAGTGTAGCAAACTATTTGTTATTTTATTAACAGAGTATCATTTTTGATATTTACTTAGTCTAGCCATAAATAGTGTTACAAATCCAAATCAGTGGTAAAAAAAATAATTTGAACGTTTGAAGTATTCAAAATACAGTAGTTGTTATTCGAATATCTCGTGCACACGTTTTTCGAAAAAAAGGAATATATTTGTTTTTTTTTTATAATGGATTGGGGTGTTAAAGAAAACCGTATTGCTGTAATAGCCTTACACAAGCTAGGCCAAAGTCTTTCATCCATTTTTAAACTTTTACAAAATTTGAATATTACGCGTCAATTTGTTTATCGAACCAATGTAAGGTTCAACAAGGCTGGTACTATTAATGACCTTGAAAGTTCTGGTCGACCGCGCGTGCAACGAAAGGAAGCAGCTATAAAAGCCATTCGCGAAAGAATTCGCCGAAATCCACGAAGCAAACAAAAGATCTTACCAAAGCAGATGAATTTAGCTCCAAGAACCGTTTCCAGGATAATCAACGAAGACTTCGGACTGAGAGCTTTCAAACGACGCACAGGTCATTTGATAACCCCTGCTCTTAAAATATTAAAAGGGTTAGATCAAAAATATTGTTGGCGCGGCATGATGGTCGGTGGTATGAGAGAATCCTTTTCATAGACGAGAAAAATTTCACTGTCGAGGAAAAGATTAATCGTCAGAATGATAGGATATATGCTCGTAGCTCTCTAGAAGCTTCTTTGAAAGTCAGAAGACTTGAAAAAGTCACCATCCTTCTTCTGTCATGGGTTGGTGGGAAGTTAGCTACCAAGGTGTAGAAGATCTCCACTTCTATGCCGAAGGGGTAAAAACTACATCTAAAACTATCAAGATGATATTTTGGAACAAATAGTAAAGCCTTTGAATACAAAAATGTTTAATTGAGAACATTGGATATTTCAACAAGATTCAGCTCCTGCTCACAAAGCTAAGTCAACTCAACAATGGTTGGAGATGAATGTTCCGGATTTCATAAAGGCCAATGAATGGCCCTCTGGAAGCCCTGATTTAGACCTCTTTGATTACAGTTTGTGGGCATATTTAGAGGGGAAGGTGTGATATAAAAATACCATAATTTGGATCAATTGAAATCAGCATTGGTGAGAGCAATGAAAGAAATACCCTTAGAAAAGGTGCGTGCCGCCATAGATCAGTGGCCCGAACGTTTGAGATCCTGTGTCAAAAATAAGGGAGGACATTTTGAATGATTGTATATATTTAAAATCTATGTCCTATTGACTAATAATATATGTATTTATATTCCATTTATATTTGTTCTTAATCATTTAATTTACAAAATTGTTTGTAACAAAATTTATGGCTAGACTGTGTATATTTTCTCTTTCATGATTTGTTTTTTTTTTATCCCTAGTACACGTGGTACAGGCCATGATAATCATGGTGGGAATAAGGCGACTGCTTTTACTGTAAGTGCACCACATGTCTAAACATATGAAAAGCAGTTCGACTTTGCACTTACAAATGTGCCAGAGCCCCGTTTAGTTACTTGCACTCGCTTGTGGGGTTGGACTTTTGCAAGAATCGAGGGCCATTGGAGTATTTTTTTTAAGCAGAAAAAAGGGCCTATTGCGGGAATCGAACCCGGGTCGTAGTGGTCGAAAACCAAACGGTTTAACCAGCCTTCCACCGACCCCCATCAACATTTATTAAGATATGAAGTTATTATATTATTTTATCATTTTTATTTATTCATTATTGTAGTGATGGAATATTTAGGTGATATTGGAGTTTTCTTCATTCTCTCTCCTTATAGTAGAGTAATGTAAGGACAATCTATGGACCAGCATTTCCTAGATATCACTATCACAAAAATCACAGGAGAAGGGTGGTCTAAACCGTTGGTTTTAGACCGCTACGACCCGGGATCGAATCCCGCATTGGGCACTTTTTTTCTAATTAAAAAAAATGCTCCAATGGCCCCCGAATCTTGCAAAAGTCCAACCCCACCAGCGAGTGCAAGTAACCAAACGGAGCTCTGCCGCAATCGTAAGTGCAAAGTCTAATGCTTTCACACGTGTAGAAATGTGGTGCACTTACAGTAAAAGCAGTCGCTAACTACCCACCATGATTATAATGGGTGTACCACGTGTACTAGGGATAATTTTAAAAATCACAGATTAGCCCACAATTTTCTTTTCATATTTCTGAAAGACTTTCATCGAAAATATTCAAAGTTATTTTATGCTCAAAAAATGTTTTTAAATGTAAGTCTAAAATACTAGGAAGTAAGCAGTCATCAATCAGAAGTGAATGATCCAAATTTTGGTATTAGCCACATACACACAAAATATCATCAAAATGTATTCAGTTTTGATATCATCTGTACATAATTCCTACTAATTCTTTAGTAGGGGGTCTTTAAAATATCGAATAAATCAACCTACGGCAATCTGGATTTGTACACCTTCAATAACTAGTCTCAAAATTTTATATTGAGTCGAATTGATAACAGTAACTATGATTATTACTGATACTATTACTGTTACTGTTATTAATGTATTTTTATTGTTGTTGATAACAATAACTCCAAGAGTAAGTTCGAGAGACACCTGTCTATACTCACTGTGCGGTCTTAGCAAAAAAAAAAAAAACTAGCATAAATTTGGGTTAATTTTTAGGTAATATTTAATTGAATTTTAGTATTTTATTTTGTATTCCGCTTTCTATTATTGTGGTGGTGGTGTCTTGTCCATAGAGCAGATCAGATCGGTCCGGGCACCCTGTTCACAATACCGGCTAACAAAGGTGCCTTGTTCGTGTCCTCTTCTGGATTGATGTCTGTCATATAGAGGGCTGTAAGGATGGCCGGGTATATGTGGTCCTGAGTGAGTTGGGTATTGTTACAGTTATTGAAGTTTTTCTATTATTTTAAATAAGTTCCGCCTCAAATTTCATAACCACCGTTCTTCAACTAAGGAATTTTTGCATAAGACGGATATATATTAATAAAGACATCGGTATGTATCATATGTGAATACGAATGTTTTTTTTATCTTTTCCTTTCCTCGAGGGATTTACCTAGACCAATTTGATGATGAGCTTAATGCGTAATACAATATAATGTGGCTTATGATTGTAGAACGACGTTTGATAAGTTTTACCGTAAATGTTTCTTTTGAACGAAAAATCGTAATTTTATATCAAGTAAAAATACGACTATTTCTATCCTTAGGGATGAAGTATGAAAGAATAATTGTGAAGAGTAATGATGAACGTGAACGACGAACGGAAATGTGTATTGTTTTTCATTTCCTTTTTTTTTACAACAACAAAAAGCTTTATTAAGACCTTTCAGTCTTATGCAGAATCTATATGTGATTCCTTTATCCAAAAATTATTTTTTCTTATTAATCAACAATCGACGCCGTTCTTTAACTTTTAAGGTGTAATCCTTATTTATGTAAATCCTTGAATTCCTTAAGCTTAAATGCATTCCTGAATAATCTAATATCTTATTGGGTTTTGATATGCAGTGATAAATGATTTCACGTAAAATATAAACTCATAGTTTTATAAACACAAAGGTTTCAGTTCAGAAGAATAACTTGGATTACTTATACACCTGAATGTGATTTTCAAGAAACGTGTATAGT